TCTGAGGCACTAGCAAATGAGTCCGCGCGGTGTCCGCGGATTCCCGAAGAGCTAGTGGGCACGTGGGTTCACTCGTACGAAATCAGGGAGCGTGATTGGATTCGATATTTGCTTGCTAACCGAGTTAAGACAAACTCGATAGACCTCGGGTGTCCACTCACTCAGTCAGCAGGGCCGCCAGTCGGGGGCACATTTCGCAAGCTGAGCGCAGAAACCCGCGATGCCTTCTATGAGAGAGGGCCTTGAAACACTGCGGCACTGCTCTCTGGCAGCTTCTACCGGTGGGATGTGGCGAGTTATCGAGCTACGAACGATCTCCTAACACTCTACCTAACCACATTCGTCCACCTTCTGATCGAACTAAGCTGGGAATTTTGCAGGATAACAAAATTGAACATGGGAGCGGATCACATATTATACCGCAACTATGGATCTTGAGCATCTATCATGGATGTTGAGGATGCTGAATGCTAAAATGGACGGGAATCAGGTAGCTGGACGGAGAGAGCTCAATCGCATCTGCCGGGATTCCGAATTATCTTGGGAGCTAGATCTCCGGGATGAATCTCAAAGTTAATGGAGACTTTTCCCTCCGATGTTAGGGTGCAACCTTTCTGAACATAAAATATTCCGACCATAAGGAGCGACCTTTCCAGAAGTGATTCCATAGGGAGCTTCCACGGAGTGAGCTCTTCCACTGGTTTCACGCCAGGAGTGGAGGCTAACCAGCCGTAGGTTTGAGAAACAGCCTTGTCTCGTGACATATGTAAACACATCGAACTGAGCTTCCCTATCGAGTTGCGGGTGTCGGTATAATTCTGACAAGTTGGTAGGAGCGGAGGTAAAGGGCAGGTCCGTGGGGGAAGGTGTCGAAGCGAAATGTAATCGGTGTTCCGTGGCCTCGGAACTGCCTAAGCCCTACATAATTATGATTAGCGTCCCTCGCCTACGAGACCACCGGGGCCTGCGGAGAAATTCTCGTCTCGAACGAGGTATGGAGAAGGGAAAAGCGAATAGATATTCCTCCACAGCGATGAGGACCAAGGAGTGAAGATGAGTCGCTGAGAGGATTTCCGGGCTTGCCGTCAATCCCGGAGTGACGTAGTCAGTTTTTGTGAAGGAGGACGGATAATAATTCGAATCAAAGAAGGCCGAAGTCTTTGGGTCTCCTGGGAGGATATCTCGTTTGAGGCGGAATATTTCCCGGACACTATTAGGCATTGAACACCTTTCTCTCGCTCTTCTCTCATGAGGATTCGCTCCGAGGCTGGAGAGAGAAGAGAACGCGACGGCCTCCGACGGGAAATACGTCGGGAAATACCATCGCCTGAGATACGTCCGGTACATCCACCGGCAGCGTGAGGCGGCTGGGCAGTCCGTCCGGCCGTCCGTTCCTTCATTAGCTTTCAATCAGGCTGCTGATCCATTTACGAAAGCTCGGCCAGCCCTGACTTGGATCTGTTCTGCTCGACGCTGGCCGACTCGACTTCCACGACAGCCGAGACTAACACCACCGAGCAACCGGCTTGTCAGAGAACTGCAGTTTTTGCGTCCCCCATTTATTTCATTACGGGAAGATCACTTGCGACTCTATGATCGCCAGCGGTCCGCGGAGACCGGAGCCAAGGTCTGTTGACAGCGTTCCGCGACCCTGCCTCAGCTCCCGTGCTACAGGTCAAAAATAGCAATTCTCCCGGTGTTTGCGGAAGATCGTGAGTCACAAAGCAAGTCTTTCATTATAAGCATGATGGTATTTCAGAGGGAGCTAATCCTCTCGATCGTTGGTCCCGAGAGCGTAGCACCATCAGGGCTCCAACAAGCCTACGGAACTCGAGGTGACAGAATCGGCGGGGCTTTCCCGCGGAGGACTGGCTGAGTAAACTCGATATGATTCATGTACCTTCTCCGAGGTTGCTCTTGCTCCCGCATCCCATTCGGAGGCCCGCTGACCCCCGCCACGACGAGCTTCGGGTAAGACAGAATTCTCCTATGGAGGATGTTCGGGTCGCCGTAGGGGTTGAATCGAGGGAGAGAGGGCAAGAACGAATGCACCGGGAGACAAGTCTGTTGACGGACTTCCTCCTCATCTCAATAACACGTCTTCACCTGGCATCCGAGGGAATCTCGTTTGGGGAACCTGATTGATTGATTGATTGATTTATGCTCCATTTCTAATAGAAACCCCGACTGCGGGGGCGCGATCGCTGGAGACTATGTGACGCTTCACTTCTGGGGTGTGGGTGGCTTCGCCTCCCTTCTCTCCCATCTCTCGAGAATCCGCTTAGTATCGTTAATGATTCGCCTTTCAGACTCCTCATGTAACCCAAGCCTTTTTTGAATCTCTTCGTCACCGCATGTCCTTTCTTGGCATGCCATCAGGACGTGCTCCAGAGTTTCCTCCTGACCACAAATCCTGCAACTCGGGTCAATCTCTTCGAATCTTGACCTGAATTTCCTGGTTCTGAGGAAGCCGGCTCTGGCTTGTGCGAGCAAT